AACTGAGACATGTCTTGGTCCAGAACTGAGACACGTCTTGGTCCAGAACTGAGACATGTCTTGGTCCAGAACTGAGATGGGTCCCAAACTGAGGTACAACAGTAATACTAATACGTCATTGATTAAGCGTATACATCGCGAGCACATCTTTTTCGAACAACTCAAACATGGACACCAAGCAAGCATACGATGACGCGAAGAAGGAGTATGAAGAGGTGAAGGCGAAGCTGGAGCGGCTGGAGAAATTGAGGAGCGGAGCAACGCCCACGTGGGCTGACGAGCAGGCAAACTTAGAGAGGCAAGAACAGAATCTGGAGAAGAGGCGAGATAACTGGGAAGCGACGATGCAGGACCTGTATCGAAAGCTGCCGGCGGCCGCTTCAACTGGTAACGACTTTGTGACTCGGGCGTTGGGGACATAGAGTAGTGTGTACGTGGGGTAGAGTAGACGTATGGTTTTAATAGAGCAGCGAAGGAGAATAGTTCGAACGCTGTTGTCACATGCATTATATGTTTGGTCTCCTACACATATTAGGGTCGCTCATAGTACTTTGGTTTTTCCAGCTTTGATCATATCACCCCTACCCGATTTAAATCTTGAAGAACTTTTATTGCTCCTTCGGCCACATGTTGGGGGTGTTAGACTTAAGCCACTTCGTGATTCACTTCCTCAATTGGAGAACGGTGATATCCTTTCTAACACTCCAGACATCTCAGCCCACCTGAAATTTGTGGATCGTGACAAAGAGGTCGAACAGTTGATGGAGAGCATCACGGAATTGTATGCTATTATCAAAAACCCTGAAGATTTCCAGGAGCCAAGGAAGCAAATACGTTTCCCTACAGCTGTAGGAACTGCCGGAAAGGGCAAGACTACCTTCGCTCGACGGGCATTTGAAAAACTAGACTCCTGGGGTTCAAATATTCCGATTGAAGTTAGGGATGGAGTAATAGACTGTTGTGAAGCAGGCCGATCCCTCCGAGTCTCATGTGAATCCTTTGTTGATGATGACTTTGACAAACGACCTGAGAGGGCTTTTGGAAGACTATTACTTTATGAGGCTCTGAAGTATCGAATAGAACCGTAAGTTAGAATATTCGATATATAATTCACAACAATTGTTGTAATGTCATGATACCAACACATGATATTTCTGATTTTTTAGCAAAGTTACCTATCGCGAATTCATAACAAATATTTTACACAGACGAACAGCTGCACTTAACATTATTCTTAATGTAATTGGGGAATTGTTGCCTGGTAACACAGATGCAGTCTTTTATATTATCAATGTTGATGAGACAAACTCGTTATTCTCCAGGAAGAAAGACATTTTTCTCAAAGAAATTCTCAAGTCCCTTGTGGATGTCATGCTAGAAAATTACTTTGTCTTTCCTATTTTGACTGGGACACATGCAATAGATCTTTTCTCAGCCGTGGTGTCATCCGGCTCTGGTGCCCGGACAATTGAAATAAATTTGCCACTGCTCAAGGTTGATCATGCTGAAGAGGTCATCCTTGATTTGGCTAATCGAGGATTGGTAGGTTGAACTATAGTGGAAGATTGACTGCTTGTTAACATCCTAACTAATCTAAGCAATATCTTGTTAGGGACCGTATTCGAGAGAAAGGTGAGCATAATCTGCTCTGTTTTAGGAATTGCAATGCTACAACTTTTGTTTGACCTTACTTGTGAACTGAATTAGGATCTTGGAGATCTCATCATATTTACGACAAAAAATTGAAATCCTTGGAGTTGTTTGTCGTTTTCTTGAAGTTTTCATCTATCAGATGTCTGTTATTGGCTGGAGTACCATGCATCATCATGAAACATTTGATGATCAGACTTTCCAATGGGAAGGGTTCTGTTATTTTCTACGATATTGCCAACACGACCCAGCCAGGTGCCAAACTCTTATAGACAGGACTAGTGAGGTGATCAATTCTAAGTATCAACATTATGGTGATGTTTATAAGGATCATCTTGAATTTATTCCTGAGCTAGTAGCATACTCCATGTTTAACTGGCATGTTAAGCGAAATACCATGTTGGGGAAAAGGAAGCATATTACCATTGCGGTAAGGGGTGTTTAGAAAACTACTGCTTGAATTCTTCTAAATTCTCATCAACTTGTTTTACATTCTCAAGGAATTAGAAAATAAGGGGATTGTTTTTCTTGAAGGACTAGAAGGGCTAGAAAACCGAGAAGAAAAAAGGCTCAAAATCCCTGGTATCACAGTTAGTAGGTTGTCCAAAGGTCTGAACCCAAGTGTGCTTCCAGACATCAAGCTCCTCAGAACTCTTGACCATGCACTCTCACCAGATCAAAATGAGTTGTTGACTATCTCAATAGTTGTGTTTCGCTTGTGGACAATTTATCGGAATTCAGTTCGAAATGGATTCATCAAAGAAGGAAAGAATGGGACATGCAACCTCTCTGACCTTTTTCCATTGCGGGAAAATCAGGATGATGTGAAAATTGAGTTTGAACCCAGATTTTCTGTTCTTGACACGCCATTCAGAATTGGGTGTGAGGCAGATTGGATAAAATTTAAGCAGAAATGTGGAATGAGTGAATGCATCGCTTTTCAAAACTTGGAGAAAGCCCCTTTTGCAGATGCATTCCTGCTCACACAACCACTAATTTTTTTCCAGAGCAAGCAAGAATTGACAAGCTGCAGGAAGGAAATTGATGACCGTTCACCAAATATATTGAAAAAAGGCCTTGTGAAAACTGAACATGCAAAAGTAGTAGATGCAGCAGTTGGTGAACATTTTTTTGTTTTGGACACTGATGCACATGCACGTGATGATGAGAAATATAATCATAATGAAATTGTGGTAACATCAGATAATAGGAGGGAATTTCTTGGGGATGTTATGGCACAAATAAAAATGTACAGTGTACTCTATGGATAATCTCACTTCTTTCATTAATTAAGGTACCTTTCAGTATTTTATGATGGTATATATTAATATCTTATTGGCCAGGCCAAGTTATAACATACACTCCCCTGCCAAAAATTTAGGGCCACCCCTGCCGATCAATTAGTAATACATATGAAAATTTCATTTTTTCGA